AATCTCTGCAGAGTCAGTGTCCCCATTCCCACACAGAAGTGTGGCTGCACTGTGCTGTAAGCTTGAGACCAAAGGGAACTGCCTCCTGAGTTTTCACAGTGCAGGCAGGTCATTCATCTGGTTAATCAGTGTTGAAATGGTGAGCTGATGTCAAAGTGAAGGGGAAAACAGGAAAAGAGTTCCTGCCACCTGGCTGATTTAATTTTTTAAATAAAAGAACTGAGAACAGGCAACAAATTGTCCAGTTCTCACACAAGCACTTTTGAGCAGATGCAATATACGAAGAACTCTGTATGTTCTTTTGTCAACTGTTTGGGCTAATACCAAGGTAGGAGAAAGAATTAAAAAGGGACATAAGCATGATCAAAAGCAGCCAGCTGTTCAGAATCCAAATGAACATCCTGTTTCTTTTACACCAGATCAGAAAGGATCCAGGCAAGCAATTGCCTACTGAAGATGGCCCTACCATCTGGTTCCCCTGCCAGGCTCTTGGAGAGGAGGCTTGGTTTACAAAACGTAGCTCCAAGAGGAAAATATAACAGATCTAGTAGGAAAAGGTAACATTGTGGGCATTTTTTTATTTTATTTGAATAGGTAAGCTTCCCCTGGCAGGTCTGAAAACCCACACTCAGCTACAGCTGATTGGTAACTGGGAGCAGGACTGGGATGCTGGCTAGAGACACCAGTTGTCTTCTGTACTTCCAGAACGCAAAGGAGACATCTCCCAGGGCAGGGATCTCCCAGGCCTGCACTGTGGCAGCATTTGTGCGGGGGGCAACCACCTCCCAAGGTGCCCAGTGGGAGGGAGCTGGGCATCACGAGCGGAGCAGCCGCGGGCCTTTTCGCTTCCTCTTTCCGAGAGAGAGGGGGGGAAAGCAACTAGACAGAGGGACTGGGTGGCTCGTCATGCCGGGCTGCGTTCACAAGGGCCATGCAGAGTCGAAGAGCCAGCGAGAGGGCTGTGCTCCTGCCCAGCCAGCAGCAGGAAGCCTGCGATGGCTTAGGGGCTGTCGCCTTCTGCCTCTCGCAGCGGGGATCGGGGCGGCCTCCTGCCACA